GGGACTGTCGTTGGGAGTGTACTCTGGGCAGGGACCATATCCTGTTGCACAGCTGGGGGACAAACGAACATGGAAGGGCATAAAACATGGTGCTGTGGCTGTGTGCAAGCAGCTGGACTGTCTGCAGGAGGCATAGGAGCGTGTCAATACTAACCATAAACGAAGTAGTTCGAGAAAGGGGAAAACATAACGATAAATGAAAGCAATCCATTCTTCATTCGAAATGACATGAACAAAATGATATGTGTTCATCATGAGGCCCAGAACTCATAATACGGAATGCCTTAATGAGCCTGCACGGTGGCCAATTGTTCGATTGAAACATGGGAATGACATTATAAGCCTGACCAGCGATTCCAATGAAGGAAGTATGCACGGTTTCATGCTTGGTTTTCTAGAGGCCAACACCAAAGGTTCATTTACCCACTCATATAGTTGCTGGGTTGCTTGGTTTACGAAAGCCCAATGCTACAAGTCTGTTATTCTTTGAAAACTGTGAGAGCACACACAATCAGTTTACGTTCAAGCCACACACGATGAAGATCATAGACAAGGACGAAAGGGAGGGAGTGCACACTGCTGCAGGATGCTCTTAAACAGCCATCTAGATACACAGCTCAAAGAATAAGACGACTTGCTTACCCTCTTTCGTTACCTCCCCGGTGTCTGACCGCAGAAAAGCCTTGGCAGGTGGAGCATCTGCAGGAGGTGCTGCTCTCGTAGGCCTCTTTTTGTCCTCTGCTGCCGCCTCTTCATCCTCTTCGTCATCATCCTATGCATTCATCCAGAGGTGCACGTTCATGTTCTAAGCTGAAAAGCCTGTGAGATGATTCAAAAGGGCGGATTCCTCTCTCCCTCAAAATTATTGTGAAGTAGTGGCCGCTACCATGCTGCCATTCACTGCCACTTGATCTCCCAGCCCCCTTGACACGATCATTTCATCACCACATTCCACAATTTTACATGCATGAAAACTTCCAAACTTGCAACCTGCGCACACCTGACAGGGGCACCATGGATTTCTTTCAGGGTGGTCTGGTGCTCCTTGGGGTTTTATGGTCAATACTCTGACTGTAGCTAGGCCTGTGCCATTCACAGAAGTGGTACATGGCCTGTGACCTGAGGTACCCTGTTTGATACTCTATACTCGAATTTGAGGTTTTCTATTCGACTCTGACTATGCAACTAAGGACCGCAGCACACAGTTTCCGACTTCCATCTCAGGAAGTCCAAGAGGAAACCAAGCTTGCTAGCTTGTTCTGAGAGAAATCAGTTCCTTGCATGTTAACTCATATGCTTTTGGGAAGATGCTTCCGTACGACACTTACTCAAAAGGTTGCATCCACCAAGTACCTTCAGCACTACACCTATCATGCACCTCCACCAAGAGGGTCAAGGTCCAGCTTAGAAGNTTCAGCACTACACCTATCATGCACCTCCACCAAGAGGGTCAAGGTCCAGCTTAGAAGACACCAGCAAAACTGCAAAAATCCCAACACCCCCCCCTTGACACAAACATTTCATCACCACATTCCACAATTTTACATGCATGAAAACTTCCAAACTTGCAACCGCGCACACCTGACAGGGCCACCATGGATTTCTTTCAGGGTAGTTTGGTGCTCCTTGGGGTTTTCCGGTCAATACTCTGACTGTAGCTAGGCCTGTGCCATTCACAGAAGTGGTACATGTGAATGGCACATGGCCTGTGACCTGAGCTACCCTGTCTGATACTCTATACTTGAATTTGAAATTTTCTATTTGACACTGCGTATGCAACTAAGGACCGCAGCACACAGTTTCTGACTTCCATCTAAGGAAGTCCAAAAGGAAACCAAGCTTGCTAGCTTGTTCTGAGAGAAATCAGTTCCTTACATGTTAACTCATATGTTTTTGGGGAGATGCTTCCGTACGACACTTACTCAAAAGGTTACATCCACCAAGTACCTTTTTCCCTCCCGAACTCACTCACTCACTCACTCGTTCATCCACCCATCCACACCATCAGTCAGTCATTCATTGGTTTCTTCATCCTTGTTCAAACAGTCATTCGCCAATTCGCTCTTTTCTTGCTACTCCATTTGTTCGTTCATTTGTTTGTTCGTTTGTTCGTTCACACATTTGCTTATTCAATTTTCTCATTGGATCATTCAGTCAACAACTTACCTTAAATGAATATGCGATGTCACTGAACTCTTTTGTACAACTTGCGGTTGCAACCTGGCCACAGGAAATGCATAGGAGTGCAAATAGCGAACTTCAGCAATCATACAGCATCATACATATGAGTCCAGATAGTCTTGACCTCGAACCAACAGCAGAATTGCATCACGAGATTCACCAAATAAGAACACACCAAGAGTTCATAATTGACAATGCTGAAATAGTCCCATCATCATCAACTAAGAACCAGAGTTGATATCCTATCTGGCGCTCGGCGCCCAGACTACGTGGCAGATCCTATCTAGCCTATACTACGAAGCCGAAAGATGATGTCAACAGCATTCCCAAAGTACGAGCATATGGCGACCAATGTCGCACGCTTCCAGCGCTAGGTATGTCTCGCGCTACACTCACTACCTCGTTCCCCAACGCACAGATGCCTCTAGCACCCAAGGACCACCCTGCGCTTCACCCAGCATACAGCAGCGAAGCTTGGCTATGGCTGCGTGCTCCTTCCCTGCTCGCCCGTGAGAGCGTAGGCGCCAGCCAGCAAATAGCGCAGCAGCGCTTGCGCAGCATGCAGCCAGCACCCGAACGCCGAATGAGGAGGCAGGCCCTTTGCTATATCGAAGTGGCCTGCCTGCGTCCTGTCCCAGGAAGCTTCCAGTAGGCCCCGGTAGCTTGAGGCCCAGGGCCTGAGGTGGTTGCATGTGCCCAACTGCCTGTGGCCTGTGTTCGGCCCGGTACCCGTATCCAGCCCAGGGCCTGCTTTCCATTCATTCACACAGGTGGCCCAGGGCCTGCTTTCCATTCATTCACACAGGCGGCCCAGGGCCTGCTTTCCATTCATTCACACAGGCGGCCCAGGGCCTGGGTTTCTTCAACCAACTGGCGCTGCGCAACTGCCTGAATTTCCTTGGCTGCGCAGTAGCCGAAAAAAAAGGGCCCAGAGGGCCTCGTCGAGCCTGCCTTCACTTAGGGTGGCCGACTGGCTCCAAAATAGGGGCTGAACGGGGCTCATAGAGGCATAGCCTCGCAGGAGGTTCATGGAAAGAACAAATGGTCAATTCTGGCAGATAAATGGTTGGCCCTTACGATTCTGAGGAGGGACAAAAACGCAGATTCTTGTGGTAAGCAGACAATTTCAGTTATTCAAAGACCCAACCCTCCGCTCCCCCCCCAAGCCATCCAAGGGCTACAGCTGTCCATGTGCTGGCCGCAGGACGGGCCGGCATGGGACCCTGAGGCAGTTCACAAAGCTTTGAGTGTGCCGATCTTGGCAATTTCTTGCAGTCAGAATTGTTGGCAAAAAAATATGGAAAAATCAGGGGCATAGATTGAGTGGTGATCTTCAAGAGGTTTTCTTTTTTTCAACGGACGACCAACAGCAGTCCTGGCAGCAAAAGTTTGCATATTTTTGGACCCCTTGCTCCGTCATTTTGAGTCAGTATTCCAGGCTCAAAAACATGCGCTGGTCTGCTAACTTTGGGAAAACGGAAGTGGTGGCTTAAAATTAGTAGCAAGGATCACAGGTGGTAAAACACTCACCACCTATCACTGTTCAATTTCAGGAACAGACAAAGATAGTAATTCAGTAGTGCTAGAACTTACCTCTGCATCCTTTTCCCTAACAACAACTGTGTCGGAAAGAAGCAAAGAGTACTCCTTCGTCTTCGCATCCTTTCCACCAGGATTTGCTAGCTTTTGAAGCCCCAGCTGCAAAAATGCAAGAACATCACCACGCCCATTGTTATGACGCCACCCCTGAATTAAACTGAAGGATGCACATGAACAATCCCCAAATTTTCATAACAACTGGTACATAGTATGCAGATGGCAGGTAGACTAACAATATACTTTTTTTTTACCTTTTTTTTTTACGAAGACAATTCTCCAATCTATCAGTGGGGAGCAACAAGTGTCGGGAATCGGGCCCCGTCCCTTATGTGACACAAGCCATAGTTCAGAGAAACGTTTAGAACTGTAAACACCCGCCAAAAAACAGACTGAGAACACTGCTGATTTCTAGGTTTTGCCGATGGAATGCATGCCTTGCTGGGATTCCCGAGTTGCACTGAGTTTTCTAAGTCTGTGTATGTTTGCGTGCTTGCTGGTCCGTGTTCCTGTCTGAGTGCACGTCTGCCTGTGTGTGTGTGTGGCCCAACGGAGCACGTGTGTGTGGTGAGGCCCGCAGGGCCGGTACTCACCGTGACCGTGACTTTGAGGGTTGCAGAGGGAAAAACACTCACGTAGCGGGGAGTAGGCCGGCGACACTTAGGGCAGCGGGAGAAAAAACACTTGAGTAGCAGGTAGGCTGTTTCCACTCAAGTAGTGGTAGGTGTGTCGGGAACAGGAGGCCATGCAGAAGAAGAGAAAAAGTGGGCATTTTTTGAGGACCAGTAGCAGTAGGCTAGAGAAAGTTGGGTACCAGTCCAAGTAACCTAAGTCTAGGGCCTGTGAGGACGATATCAGAGCACGCAATGATGTTTCCCTCCGAAAGGGAGGTGGTACCGGTTGCTTGGAGGCCGCGCGGCCTACAAGTCACCGCCCAAGAGGCAAGTAGGCCGCTATATCTCCTGGAGGAGCGAGTACCTCTCATTTGCGGTATGCAAGTTTGGACGCCGTGCTGCTTGAGAGAGCGCTGGCTCTCAGAGCGCTGCCTGGGAGGAAGGAGGAGAGCCAGCGCTCAGCCTGGCTATGGCGGGCAGCCCAGCTTGAGGAGGACGAAGAAGGGGGCGAAGGAGGAGAGTGGCGAGGTACCTACCTGGCTATGGTGGACACCGTCTTCATCACCTTGTTAGGTGCTGCATTTAGAAGGCCCCATAGCTGCTTTGTGTTGTCTTTCGCACAGGAGGGCGAAGCCCTTCATAGTCCTCCATAGCCTAGGCTATGGAGAGGAAGGTGAAGAGGGAAGCCATGGCTATGGAGGACCTATTGTTGTGCTGGAAGTAAGAGGGAACTTCGAATATTGATTCTGGTTCAACCACTCATTGTTATTACTATCATTTTGGAGAAGAATAAGATTGGCAGAGGCAAGGAGGAGGAGGAGAGTGGAGAGAGAAGGGGGATTTGTCATTGGTATTGCTGGTGTACATCTTCTTCTTCTTCTTCTTCTTCTTCTTCTTTCTATCTTCTTCTCTAATCTACTTTGGTCTCTATCAATTTACCAGTGCTTTAATTTGTTTTGCAAGTGGGTGGCGTTGTCTTTCCTTGTGTCTTCCGCAACTTCTCTGCAAAGTTTGGGGGCATCTGGGCCGATTGGGTTGAGTCTTTGACCGGATGGCAAGAACCTGCTCGAGGGGGGAAATTGAAGGGTCTTGTAAAAAAAATACAAACTCTGGAGGCCAAGGTTGACAGAAAGGGGGAAGCCTTGGTCGATGGATGCCATTTTCTTTCTTTCCCTTATTCTCAAAACAGTTTCACCCAGTTCGCATGGCAATTGCAGATCCCAGGGCTCGATCCCTAGACCAATCAATACCCTACCCCTTGTACAGTGGCTGTTGATCCTGTGTGCCTTGAACCCACGGCCTGCCCCTAAAAGTCGTATGTTGTGTTGTAGGTGAAAGTAGGGTCGCGTGGATTTGAACCTTTGTGCTTCGTTTATCGCAGTCTTAGGGTCAGTCCTAAGTCCCAGCCCTACCAGTCCCGAAGAGTCAATCCTGCATAGCCTAGGACTTTCTAGAACAGTCTAAGTTGGCCCTTCGAGGCTGTAGGAGTCAGTCGCCGTAGTTGAGTCAGCAAAGTAGGGTCGGACCTAGTCCAGTCAGCATTACCCAGTCCCTAGTCCCAGTCTACTTCGTCCAGTCAACAAGTACCAGGTGGGACAGCACAGTCCTTCAGCCTGGGCCCAAAGGCACGCCAGACCATCGATAAAACAGTATAAATAAAGAGGCAGCGCCCAGCCATGGATTCATTCTGCGAACGATGCGGAAGCGCGGCCAGAGCGTCTTGTGCGTTGGAGGTCTGAAGATGCCCGAAGACGAAGTGGGCAGGAAGGAGGAGACAGCCACCATAGCCGGTAGGTAGAAGACAGCAGGAGGGAGACGGCGGCCATAGCAGCCAGTGTCGAGCAACAGCAGTGTGTGTGTGTGTGTGTGTGTGTGTGTGTGTGTGTGTGGTGTGTATGCGTGGACATTCAGGGTAGATCTTAGCGTGTGTGAACATATGCGTGAGTGGGTGTGAAGTGTCTGATGGTGGATACAGTGTTCGGGTGGGAATTCAGACAGCGTTCAGCGGCCATAGCCGCAAGTTGTGAAAGTTGACTTCAGCTGAGTTCCTGGCCAGAGGCCATATCTCTGAGTTTTCTGAGTGGGCACCGAGCGCCATCTCAAGCTTATTGCTGATTCTGCGTTTGCGAGAGTTCCTCTGCCATCGACATCTGTATGTATGCATGCTGAAAGAGGAGTTGAAGTTCAGTCTGATTGCACTGGTATCCGAGCTGGTTCCTGTTGTCTGCGTCATAGCAACTGCCGCTGCAACGAAGAGGAACACCGCCAGCGAGAAGAAGAGAAGCCACAAAGAAGAGAGAGAGAGAGAGAGAGAGAGAGAGAGAGAGAGAGAGAGAGAGAGAGAGAGAGAGAGAGAGAGAGAGTGAGGGAGGCTCGTGGAGGAAACAGTCCGCCATAGTGGACGGCGGCCATAGCCGCCAAACTCGGAGGAAGAAGAAGACAGCTGGACGGAGTAGACGAGGAAGAGAGAGAGAGAGAGGTGACGAAGGTGAGGGAAGCCATAGCCGCCCGAGAGGAGAAAGAAGTCGGCCAGAGCCAACCCTAAGGGCGAAGAAGACGAAGGGTGAGTTGATGAAAGTGCCGAAGGGAGAAGAAGCCGCCATAGCCAGCATTGACCGGAGCTGAGAGGCGTTAACCAAAGATGACCGGCATTGACCCGCAAAGTTCGACCAAGCATTGACCAGCATTGACCAGTACCGTTGACCAAGCTGGAGTGCAGAGCGAGGAGCGGTATAATCTCTTCAAGCCCTGGCCCTATCCCTTTGCATTGTGGATGCTGCACACTCACCTTGGTACTCGCTGAGAGTCGGTCGTCATCTCTCTCTACATCGAGTCACTTTTGTCCAGGTTGATAGGTTCTGTGCATGTGGTCGATAGGGGCTGTGAGCCAGTGTCTGCACGGGACTTAGTAGGGGTCGAGGTGTGTCTGACGCTAAACGACCTGTGAAAAGGATCGGTACAGACCGGCAGGTTGCTCTGGGTGGCATACCATACCCGAACTCCGAGCTGCTGAGTGGGTGTCTAGTCTATCTAAGTCTTGAGAGGACTTTGGCTGTGATCGTCGTCCTGTCTGCGACGTTAAAGAATTCTTGAGGAGTTATGGGGGATCTCCTTGAATGCCTCCTGATCAGCCAATAAGTCCTGTAGCGACAAACTAGCGTAGCTTAGGCTAGAGACGAGTAGTTGACAGAGTGTCAATCTGAAGCGGAAGCCAGGTTGGTTTCGGTGACAGCGGTTGCGAGCACATCCGACGGTTGTGGCACGTTTCGATGACAGTGGTTGTGAAAGCATCCGACGGTTGTGGAAGGTTTCGGTGACTGTGGTTGTGCTCACATCCAAGGCTGTGGAAAGTTTCGGTGATTGTGGTTGCGAAAGCATCCGGCGACTGTGGTAACCTGGCTGAAGCAGAAGAGAGACCTATGTAGTCCTTAGAAAGTTAGAGTCTAAGTGTTGAGGAGTGGAATCATCAGTGATTGTGCCCTGTCAACATGGATGACTACTTGGTGTTCGCCTTGCTCACGGGCTTCTCCCTTTGGGGAGCCCTTTACCACTTCTTCTTCCCTCTTGGGTTTTGGAGTACCATTAGTTGCCCAATAGTGACCAAATCCGGCCAGGAGACCGTCCCATACACCTTGGAGCAGGAGGAGAGGGCTGCCAAAATTCTAAGGGTGCAAAGGGAAAAGAGAGAAAAGAAGGCCCTTGGAGAAACAAGCCAAGAAGTTAAGAAGAAGTTGGAGGAGGAGATGGAGAGATTGCAGAAGGAGCAAGAGGCAAGGATGGCAGCAGTAGAGGCTGAAGAAGAAGAAAAAGAAGAGGAAGAAGAAGAAAGGACACCGATGCAAAGAGGAGGAGAAAGACAGACATGGTGAAGAAAGAGAGAAGGGAGACAAGTGCTAGCCAGCCCTCCGAAACGGATACAGTGAGGATGATTTAGGAATGGGCGGCTAACTTATCCCTGGGAGAGGAACAGGAGGCAAAGATGTTTGTTCCCTAGTCAGAAAGGGAGGTGGTCAAACAAAAGTTGGAACGGGAGGAGGATCCCAAGCGCCGTCAGGTCAGGGAGCAAGAAAAGCAATTGGAGTGGAAGTTGCGCCTCGCAAGGGAAAAGACGAGGTGGCTGGAGGTGGCAGACAAGATGGAGACGGAGCTGAGGGCAGCAGAAGAACGGCTGGGAAAATTGGGGGATAATGCAGATGCAGACCGAAAATTTGAAACATCTTCCATAGTATGACTGCTATGCTGAAAGCTCAGCCGGAGAAGTTAAGCCATCTAAAGGGCCACAACGTTGCATTAGAGGCCATGCGGCTAGGATTCCAAGTTTCATGCAGGACATGATGCTCCGCATCTCAATGAGTTGCACACCGCAATAGAAGGCACGGAGCAGTTTTGTGTTGGTGCCAAAGAGGGAGTTAAGGTTGCAGTCCCTCATGAAGAAGAGCAACGCCCACGCCGTGAGAGAGTGAAGGTCCGCTTCCCTGAACCCTATAG